AATGTTTTCAAAACGCCTCACAGCAAACATTCTCACTTCATCCAACGATTCGAGATCTCGGCTCACCGCTGCTGTTCCCAGCAAAAGCTTTCCTTGTGATGGAGTTCAAGTGATGTCAGGAAGGAATTTCAACCTAGAGATTGAGCATGCACCAAGGTCTATGGATGCACGTGACAAACCAGCGTTGCATGTGGAAACACAATGTGCAATGGCAAAAATGGGTTCTACAGTAGCCGATTTATCGAAAGAAGAATTAAGCAAGGGAGAATATGCAATTAATTTACTAGATTTTGGGGATTCGCTGTCACGCTCCACAGCAATTGGTCCTATTCAGAAACGCACTCATTCTGCTGATTCACGTACGCAAAGGAAGACGGAGCAGCTGTGCATTAATTGCCAAAATAAACTGTTTATGACTGAAACCATTGCAACAGAATCTCACGATCCCAATTCTCTTCAAGCAGAGATCATAATTCGAAGAAGTTCTGATGTGGACCTTTTTGAAACCTCTCACTCAACCAGAACTTCGATTCATCGACAAAGTTTCTTCTCAAGAGACTCGGGAAAGCGTTTATCGGGATCTTTTGATTCCTTGAAAAGCCAGTCGTTGACAATGAAATGTGCGATGTGTCATACCAACTTGACATCTGGAGACCTCACTACCTCTATACGGACAAGTACTTCTAGTCTTCTGGGCTCCGAGGCTGTGATTAATATGAGTTTGAAGGAAGTTGCTGAGGCGTATGTACGAATTTGTAGAACAGCTGGACAATTCGATGGTTCTGCTGCAACAAAGGATCGTGCATCTCTTTATCAGGCTTTGAAACATAATCGGATAATTCAGGCTGTGATTGCGGACTATGAGAAGGAAAAGAATGTGGAAGGGAAATTTATCGTAGAGTCAAAGGAAATTGCTGATGTCGTAGCAATGACTGATAAAGAGATTGGTTATTGTGTACGTGAACCGTCGACGTATTCTAATTTAAGAAATAACACCTTGGTGAAGAAGGTCGTTGAAAGCTATGAGACCTACAAGTGTAAGCAAAGAACGGATATTTGCACACAAACTGACCAAGCACAAATGAAGGCAGACACATTTCCCAACAGTGATGTTAAGGAAATAGCTGAAGTAGTGGGGGCATTTGAGAAATCTCAAGGCCAAGTCTCAACAAAAATGGGTCTCTACGCAGATCTTAAGGGAAATCCCATTATTCAACGAGTGATTGAAGAATACGAGCTCAATAGGGGCGTATACTCGGCGACCAAACCAAGTGCAACCATAGCTGAGGCAGTACTACCTTCTGCAGCTGCCTTAAAGATGGGAATCCTCAGTGTTGATGGACAGGTGGCAAAAATGGAATCGGAACAATTTGCTTCGACACGTTTGTCGACCCAAAACAGCTGCGCAATTATCAGAAAAGTTCACAAGAGCAAAGCGGAGGAGAAAACAATCTCTTCTTCAGTCAGTAGTGATTCCGAAGATGAAGACTACATTCAAAATTGGAGGCGCACTCAATGCTCGCCCGCATCTTTAGAGGAGTGCATCCGATTCGACGTTGCTTGCTCAGCTCTCATAACACCGGAGACATGGGACAAGAAGATCCAAGTTGATTTAACATATAATCATTGAAACCTTCTGATGTTGAAACACACAACTCTGAAATGTTATGAAATGATTACATGTGTATTCTGCTTAACTTTTGGAAAAAATAACTTTTATAGAATTTTCCAAGTAGATCTTTTATCGTTAACGTCGTATCTCCCGCACTACTCTCAGGCCCACTAGCTTCCGTCTTCATGAGCGAAGGATTGCTCTGAGGAGCTTTATAGACATCTGGTACAAAGTACAAGCCGACAAGGGAAAATGGGTGCAGATAAGGCAGGTATCCACGTTCTCCCTGAAAGGCACGAGATTTGCGTCGCACGACCGACTCCAGTCTACAAAGACAGGCTAAACAAAGTGTGCATTACAACCGAATGTTAGCTCAAACTTTTCTTTGCAGGCGACTGGAAAAGCTTAAGAATCGAAGTTAAGTAGTGACTCCAATCTCAGTCAAAACGGTTTCGGGTCATTCGCATGTCTTTGCATTAAAATAAATTTTGCAGAGGAAATGCTGATGTTGTACTCGAAGTACAAGCTTAATAAATTTTTCATGAGAATTTGTTGGATTGTTATTGAATTGAGATTGTCACTAAACAGAATTTCTGAACTGCATTCGTGGGTACGAAGAGCAATTCCATACGAACATGAGCTTTAAACCACATGCAGATTGCATTATTCGAAGCCCACTACCCCAGTTGTTGCCCTTGGCATCTTCGTCACTGTGACTGTGGCGAGCAGACTA